CGCACAAGCGGTTGTCGGGCACTCCTTAATCAGCCTTAAACCGCTTTTTTCCGAATCCGGACCACCATTGGAAGCGATGTGGGCCTAAACCCTAAACCCTAAACCCTAAACCCTGAACCCCTGAACCCTATACCCTAAGCCCTGGACCCTGAACAAGAAACCCTAAACCCTGAACACTATATACCCTAAACCCTCAACCCTATAGAACCCTGAACGCTAAAAGAACCTGAGCCCTTTCACCCAAACCCTAAACTCTCAACCCTGAACACTCAAAGCCCTGAACCCCTAAACCCTATACCCTAAACCCTGAACCCTGAACACTCAAAGCTCTGAAGCCCTGAACCCCCAAACTCTAAACCCTAAACCCTGAACCTCCTGAACCCTAAACCCAAAGCCCTGAGCACGAAAACCCCTGAACCCCTGACCCTGAACCCTGAAAACTAAAACCCCTGAACCCCTAAACCCTAAACCCCTAAACCCTAAACCCTAAACCCTACTAAAACCCCTGAATTCCCCGAAGGCCCAACGGCGCGTTCGACTCCAAGAGGGCGCCCTGGAGCGGGTCCTGGGCTCAGCCAGGCATCGTTTTTTGGGGTTTAGGATTTTGTTCAAGGTTTACTTAGATAGCCAATGGGAGAACTTTAAACTTTTTGGCTTTATATATTCGGTCTATCCTAAAAAGTTTGAACTTTTTTGGGGCCTGGTTGTTGAAGAAGAGAGTTTCGGGGAAAGGGTTAAGGGTTTAGGGTTTAGGTTTTAGGGCCTTGGGATTCAGGACTTAACCTTAGTTCCCCAATACACAACCTTGAAACTTTTTGGGTTCTTATAATTTAGTACGAATCTGAAAGTTTAACCATTTATTTCCCTTGCTAATAGGTGAAGCAAGTAACTTAATGTTCAAGGTTTAGGGTTTAGGGTTTAGGGCCTTGGGATTCAGGACTTAACTTCATGTTCAAGGTTTGGGGTTAAGGGTTTAGGGGTTTTGGGTTCTAGGGTTTAGGGGTTTAGGGTTTTAGGGCTTAGGGGTTTAGGATTTTAGGGTTTAGGGGTTTAGGGTTTAGGGACTAAAGAAGGGACCCTTAAAGGAACCCTTGGGGTTACGTAGGGGCTTTATGAGACTATATAACGGGTATATAAGGGTTTTTTAGGTTTTAGGGCCTTGGGATTCAGGTTTTAACTTCATGTTCAAGGTTTAGGGTTTAGGGTTTTGGGGGGTTTAGGGTTTTAGGGTTTAGGGTTTAGGGTCTAGGGCCTTGCGATTCAGGACTTCATATACAAGGTTTTAGGGTTTAGGGTTTAGGGCATAGGGATTCAGGACTCAACTTAATGTTCAAGGCTTTGGGTTTAGGGTTCAAGGTTTATGAACTGCACAAAGGCTTAAGTTTGAGGCTTGGTGATAGTTGGATGTTTCGGTTTCAAGGTCTTAGGATTACAGGGCCCATAAAGGGCTTATAAGCTTCAAGCGTTGCATCATTGCATGGAGTGACTGAGTATCTGTGCCACTGCATCGTTGCACATCCTGGGCTCATTTTTGAAGCAGTTTCATCCAATGCCGAAAAGCCCGTTCAGCACTTTCATGCTCAGAGTGTAGGCCCCTAAACCCTAAACCCTNNAAACCCTAACCCTAAATCCTAAACCGTTAGGCCTAGGGTGTAAATAGTGCACAGCACATATTCGGATCCTTAATCGGTAGAGTGGCTCCTTCGCGATGCGTCCTTGCGGAGATTCTGTCCGGCTTCGGTTTTGTCGCTCATGTCATGGCTGGACATCAGAAGATTTACCCCGCAAGAACCTCTAAAACCAAGTCATGAGGCTCAGAAAGCAGCCGGAACCCAAAACACCACCCAAAGCCCTAAACCCTAAACCCGTCACTGATAAACCCTAACATTCACGATCTCCCATAACCCCTATATCACCTGAACCGCAAAGGTTTCAAGATCCCTAGGTCCCCCTACAAACCGTTAAATCCCTATTTTCGGTGCCTTAATACATTTTTTTTTTTTTTGGGGGG